AAGTGAGCACAAAGGGAGTGGAGCTTAGAAACAGCAGAGTTTCAGAGCCAAGGTCTCATGAAGACTGGTTATGGCACAATTCTAGGATACGGCACTGTCCCTGTATGAGTTCTTAGTTGCCTGAAAAAGTCAGACATTTGGGTTGTGGGAGCTGACAGTGTAGGGATGTTAGAAGAAAAAGTCATATTGAAAAATGAATATCCTGGTAAGAGCAATGTGAGAGTGGCTGAGAGTGCAGAGGGGACACAGACTGGGCGAGGCCGATGGACACACAGGAAGAGTGGAGAGATGGCTGGTGGATGCTCTTGCTGTTTATCGTGTGGTCCTTTCATTTTCATAATGGGAAATTGGCTAACTGGAGGCAATGACAAGGTCTTTGTGCCCCTTGTCATTCCACATGGCTGCTGTCAACCCTGATGACTGTTAGGAGGGAAACTAGATTACTTTCCATGAGAGAGATGACTGCTAGCATTTCAACCAAAGAAATGCCAAAATAACCATGAGCTATTGGGAAACACTTGGTTATAGATATTAACCTACCAAGTAATTCAGCAAAATCTGTTGGCCATCCTCCTTGTCCCAGGCCTGCTGGGGGAAGAAAAGAGACCTTCCTGGTGTTTCCAGCCACAGGAACTTATGGTACATGCTCAGACACTGACAGACACAGAAGTTATGATAGCACAACGTGAGTCTGGTGGTATGGGCAGAGAGGAAGAAGAGCACATGGAACGGGAATGTAGTATCTCTGTCTGAAAGCAAGAAGGCCTGGCAGAAACAATGATATTGGAAAAAGCCCAGGAAAGACAAGAATTCCAGGAGACAGGGAAGGGAGCAGACATGGGAGGGAGAAGAGTTTTTGAGGATATAGGAACTGGAAAGCACCATGTTTTAGGACCATCAGGACGAGGTGCTTTTGAATAAATGTTAGTGGGTCATACAAAATGGCAGATGGGTGTCAGGCCAGCACTGAGATGAACTAAAGTCAAACAGGCAACATCTGGGCAGATTTGGGATTAGAGATGATACTGCCAACTCCCAGCACCAGATGCCACAAGGGCACTGGGGCCAGTAATAGAGAACTGCTGTAGCAATTGAGAAAGAGATGTAAGACCTCAAAACCAGGGTACCGGTGCTCAGACAGACCAGTGGGCTGGAAAGGTAAGCAGTAGAGGGTTTTGAAAATGCAAGCTACTGGAGCAGAGGCTAAGAAGACACCAGGAATCAGGAATCAATACAGATCTTTAGAGATGGAATTCATATTAACTAGTGTCTGGATATAAGACAGCCAGAGAGTCAGGCAGAGAACCAAGAGACTTCACAAAGGACCAACCTCTAGGACAAAGGTTTGGACAATGCTAAAGCCATTGCCTTCTGAACTTGAAGGGTACAGAGGAGTCTGGGAGCCTGCAGGAAATACACGTGGGCAGTGGCTGTCTTCATTTAGATCTAATCTTGTCAGGCAGAGGGGTGGGGAAATTACAGAGCCTGGTGCTGACAGGGCTGAGGTGGAGCTCGCCTACTCTTGCTTTGCTGGAGGCTGTGTAATTTGGAAAAATACTTTTGCAAAGCAATTTACATACCTTTGGGTCAAACCACTTGACCCCCCAGTTCAACACGCAGAAAATTGCCCTAAGAAAATAGTTTGACAGCATGAAATATCTGCACTCATCTATCCAAACACTAATTAATTAATTCAACAATAATCAGATATTATGCCTGTGGGTGTAGACATTCCAGTGAGTGTGCTTGCTGTAGCCATGCCTTTGATAGTAGAGCAAACAACCTGAGTTCTAAGAGATCCCATAAAGGCGTAATTCAGTATGAGATAACCTAGCCATGGGCTCTTGTCCTTCGATGCTCCATGATGCCAGCAGAATTCAGTTCTTGATTTTTTTCTGTGCCACCTTTAAAGAGTTTAGAATAATGGCATTAAACAAGACCCAAGAGACGAATCAATTGTGTTTTCTGATCTATCTCTTGGGGCTGTTTTCTTCCAGTCTCCATTTTTGACCCATATTTTCACATATTTGAGATACCACCCAGCCTCTTCTGAGCGTCGTGTGCCAGCAAGCTTGTCAGTGCCCTGCTTTACCTTTGCTCATTCATTTCATCTTGACAGACACTCTGAAGTGACAATCACTTCACTGTCAACCACTCCAAGCCTTGGAGGCATTGGTAAACTTGCCAGATCAGTAGCTGGGGCAGGGCATATCCAGAAGCCATGCCCAGGCAGTGAGGCCCTGGGATGCAGTGGACAGTCTGTCATAGCATAATGGAAATAATATGCTTTCTCAGCGAGAGGTCAATCCACACACCCCGAGATGAAGGAGAGCTCTTTGATATGCATGGCTGACTCTCTCTATATATATATCTCTATCTCTCTATCTCTATCTATCTATCTATCTATCTATCTATCTATCTATCTATCTATCTATCTATCTATCTATTGTGACTAAGAGTCGACCCCCCAACAGAAGGTTTTAGTAGCTTATATACATCTTAGGCTTACGCATTTGGCACTCGCTGCCATCCTTAAATCTCTTTCAGGTCTCAACCCCAGGTTACACTTCAAATAATTCAAACAGAGGCAGGAGACTGCAAGTCGGGCCGCTTAGCAGATAAGAGATTTATACAACAAAGATATTACATATTGCCAGAATTATTTTAAGCACACCGCTGTTGTTCTTTCTCAGATAGTTGCTACCCAGGGTCATCTTGCTCACCTGGCAGAATTATGTTTTTCCTGATCAAAGCACAGGGTACTTAATGGCAGTCCAGGGTTTAATGATGTGTAACTGCCCTGCCCACCTCGAGTGGCCCCTTAGAGGTACATCGTATCACTGACCCACTGCTGTGAAGAGACGACATGACCACTGCCACTCTTATAAAAGAAAGTATTTAATTGGGGTTGCTTACAGTTTCATAAATTTAGCCCATTGTCATGAAGGTGTGGGGAGCATGGTACCATGGAGGCAGGCATGGTGCTGGAGAAGTATCCAACAGATCTATACTGGGATCTGTAGGCAGCAGGAAGAGTAAGCCACTGGGCCTGACTTGGGCATTTGAAACCTCAAAGTCCACTCACTCCCAGTGACACAATTCCAACCAGCCACGCCCCCTAATCTTTTCAAATAGTGCCGCTCTCTGCTAACAAAGCATTCAAATCTACGAACATATGAGGGGTCTTCTCTCTCAAACCCCCATAGAGCCTAATGGCTGATCAATTCTAATGGATAAACATTTATATCCTAGCACCCTAACCCTAAATGTCACCTATCTCTAACACGCCTGGTTAGCATACTACTTATTTGAGGGGTATTTTGGAGACAATGCTCTTATATCTAAATTGTACCTGTGTGACTGAATGTCTCCTAAGCAAACCTATCAGTAAGCCCTTTATAATACCATTTCTATCCCTTTGAGTTTCTGCTCCATCAATGATGCTCCCCACAAAAGCCATAGACTCTCTAACAAAATCCCCAGTGCCAGGCATAGAAACCTCCCTTTGAGCTATTGGTCAGGACAGTGGAAAAGACTCCCCAAATACAAGCTATTGCACTGTTCTTGGTTTCCTCCCAAGAGTTAAAATCCTATTGCTGAAGATACCACACTGAATAGACAGAAGACTTAGAAGAGTTGGGCTGGAACTGACTTGGAAGCTCTTCCCTGAGGACTGGCTTTCTTAGTACCAAAAGGTGTTGTGCAACCTACCAAAGGAGGAAAGTAATCAATAGTTCTGCCCAACTGTGAAGCCACAGCAGTGAGCAGAATGGCAAGACATCCCCAAGGGGGCAATGATGGCCCTTATATTTTGGGGGCAACTAACAGTTGTCTAATTGGATTGAAGACCTACTCAATAGGAAGGAATGCATACCTGATACTATAAAGCTAGCCAACTACTGATGGCCAATGAGGTATTGGACCCTAGAGGAAAGCCAACCACAGCCCTTTCCTAAGCCTGTACAATTTCTAACTGCATCCTAAATACTTATCTAAGAAGCTTCTTTTTGCAGCCATTGGAGATCATTACAGAAGTCCACATCTGTTCCAAAATTCAGAGAACAATTGAGCCTGTGTTGCCCAACCCCAATCTAGAATACAACTCTGAAGCTCTGGGAATGTGGCGAAAGAGGGGGCCAAAGATTGTAAGTGCTGGAGAACTGGAGCTCTGCTGGGAGAAAGTGTCTGCTGTATATGACAGGGGCTGTGTACCCATGAAAGCTCAAAAATATGGTCAAATAAACATGAATGATGACAGCACCAGCTGACATGCCAATGTCGAGGAAATCTCACAAGAATCTGCCTCTAGATGAAGAGCTACTGGCAACCAGTCAACAGCCAATGAGAGAGAGGGAGAATCAGTTTTCCCAGGAACACGCACCCTGATAGGTTCTGCAATCTCAAGTGGTCAGCCCTAAACACATACACGGAGCAATACTAATGGATTTAGTCAGATGTGTTTGTGTGTGTGTGTGTGTGTGTGTGCAGGCATGTACACATGCGAGTGTGCATGTATGTCTGAAACAATAAAGAGGAAAAGGCCATGGATTCAAGGGAGGGGCGGGGCACATGGAGAGAGTTGGAGGTGGAAGAGTGGGGGTAGAAATGATGTAAATACAGTATTCATGTATGAAATTCTCAAACGTTAAATGAAAACAAATTTTTCAAAGAAAAAAGAGTCTGCAGAAATTCCTTAGTGGTTAAGAGCTCTGAATACTCTTCCAGAGGAACTCTTGGATTTGATTCCCAGCACACACAAGGCAGTTCACAACCACCTGTAACTTGGGTCCCATCTGGCCTCCAAGGACATTCATGCATGTGGTGCCCCGACATACATGCAGAAAAACGTCCATATATGTAAAATAGTAATAGTGATGATGACAATAATAATTAATAATAATGACGATTTTTAAAAAACAGCAAATGTGCAAAGCCCCTGACCACCCACAGATTCAACGAAGGTCCGAATAACTCAAGGTCTCCGTATTTCTTCTCCCCAGCGGTGTTTGGCCAGCGTCTGGATGAGACTGTGGCCTACGAGCAGAAGTTTGGCCCTCACCTGGTGCCCATCCTGGTGGAGAAGTGCGCTGAGTTCATCCTGGAGCATGGTGTGAGTGAAGAGGGCATCTTCCGCTTGCCCGGGCAGGACAACCTAGTGAAGCAGCTGAGAGATGCTTTCGATGCAGGGGAGCGACCTTCCTTTGACAGGTATGCTGTCCTTATGGGTGTCTGTTCTGTCTGCCTTTGTCCAGTGGCAGAGACTGGGGCAAAAGGACCTAGTGGAGCCAGGGAACCTTCACAGGGGATTCAGAAGCTGCAGATCACAGTAGAATGAGGAGTCTGTTCTGCTTGCCACTGTGGGGTTGGGGGCCTGAGCACAGTTAGAAGAGAGTGCAGATGATTTATATGAGGGTATGTTCGGGCAGATTCAAGTGATGCTTAGGATGTGAGGGAAGGGGCATGCAGGTCATGGGGGGAAGCTGAGGCGTTGTCGAAGAACATCCTTGTCATGCAGGCTAGAATCATGAAGAACAGTGCTAGCTACATATAAACATGTGAGGGAGGATCACCACATCTGTGTCTTCTCCAGCATTCCAGTGTGGCTAGAACTAGTAATTCTCATATGTGATTCTAAACTCAGCTCTGAGCCTTCTGACTGCAGTACACACACACACAAACACACACACACACACACACACACACACACACGCACACACATGGCAACCTAGAATTCATTCTTACCCTCATCAAAGGTTTCCAGTCCTATTTGGAGCATAGCTGGTGTGGTGACACTTCTCACAGTTCATCTTCTTCTCCAGGCGCCCAGCAAGTATGTCTTCTGCCACGCTTAGCTGGTACAGCCCCACCACACACTGCATGCTCTGTTGACTGTGCAGTACCTAGCTCCCTGCACACACTTGTACTGCTGGCTTAAGACCAACCACTCTTTCCAAATTAGCAGCTCATCAAACAAGATTTGGTACAATGGGCCTGAATGCTGCCCAGTTTACAGATGTTGAAATCCCCTGGAGTTACTGAGTACAGAGGGGAAAGTTATGGAGGTTGAGTCATTCTTGTGCAGGAGTCTCATGCTCTTCCCTTTCGGCCTCGCTCTGTTCACCAGCGCAGCCCATCTTTCTTTGTTTTATACTGAAGCATCTCTGAGGCCATCTGTTTCTCTCCATGCCCACTCTGCCATGGTCTTAGTTTGATCCACTGTAGGACTATCTCTCCTGCCCTTAGTATACCCTAGGTTAATTTCTCATGTAGCTTATGCAAACAGCAGTATAGTTGTTAGCATTGGAACTGCAGCAAGTTATGGGTCCTTTTAACAGCGCAGTCTGTTACATGTTATAAGCAGGTACCTATTCCAGTATGCTCACTGTCACTGTATCCAGTTTTCTTCCTAATTTTTAATTATATTGAAGTTGATCAAAAGATGCATGTAGATTATTGCTTGGAAAGTAAAGTCCATTATCCAAAAGGAAAGACACTATTGCTAAAATTTCCCAAATGACTGCTTCGATGCCAGCTTAAACTCAGCCAGGTTGGTGTGGGTGGTGGCACTGTGGCCTTTAATTCCCATGAAACTCAGAGTTTAGAAGGAGGAAGAACACACACACACACACACACACACAGAGAGAGAGAGAGAGAGAGAGAGAGAGACAGAGACAGAGACAGAGACAGAGACAGACAGAGACAGACAGAGACAGACAGAGAAACAGAGAGACAGGGACAGAGAGTCCTTCTATGGCCAACTCCTGGGTCCATATGCCACTGAGTGGACAAATCTTATTTGGAGAAGAATGTAGAATTCTTTTTGTTCTTGTCATTTAGCTAACTTCCAATATATTTAGGGCCAAGTTTTCTTCAAAGCGTATGTCCCAGCACCTATAGATGACCATGGCTTAGCAGGCTTTTGCCACAGGCATAGCTGTGTGATAAACTAAACTTTTCCTATAGTTTTAGCTCTTCTGAACCCTAACCATAATTTTGTATCCATCAATGAGATAGAGAAGGAGTTGTAAGGCCAAGAAGCCTCTGCCTGGCATCCCGACCATAGGGCCAGAGGGCACCACCTCGATCTTCTACAAGGCCAGACACTTGGTTCCATCCAATGGTCTGCTGCTGTTATTTTCACCTGAGCAGAAGCATGGGGCTCTTGCTTAGTGAGATTCTAGCTCAGATGTGCATGGTTCTCACCAAATAGGGGAGGGCAAATGCAAAAGCCTCCTTGTAGGGCTAGGGCGGTAGGTCTGTGGTTAAAGAACTTCCCACACAAGAAAAGATGAGGGTGCAATTCAGATCCTCAGCAATAATGGAAGGTGAACATTATTGTCTGTAACTCCACTCCTTCAGAGGCTGGGACAGGAGAATCCCCCAGAGCAAGCTGGACAGCTAGATTGGACAAATCTCTGAGCTTTGGGGTTCAAGTGAAGGATCATAACTCAGTATACATAAGGTGGGAAGAAATGAAAGAAGGCACTCACGTCGATTTCTGGCCTCCACAGAAACATGCATACTCATGTATGTGCACCCACATGCATGTGAACATGCATAAACACACACATCACACAAATACACATACAAAAACAGTTGTTAAAAAGTCCTTGTCAGGTTTTACTTGGCTTGGATGCCTCCTGGTCGCAGCACTGATGTACCCCCCATCCCTGTGCCTCTCTGTGATAACAGACAGGCAGGCTACATAGCATATATTAGGCTCCCTGGCAACCTGGCAGGGCCAGCTAAGATGGCCTAGGACTCAGAATGGACAAAGAAAGTCCTTACGGTTGATCCTTTAGTTTGGAGGGATGGTCAGCTCAGGAGAATGATCCTGGAGACTTAGACCCTAAGGGCGACCCTGGAGTCAGGAATAACACAGTGGGTGACCCCCATACAGAGAAATCAGCACCAGTTCATCGTGTTAGTGCTAAAAATGACGACTAGAGATAACTGAGACGTCAGAGAAGAGGGCTCGATGTGGTCTGGTGGAACTCGAGAATTCCCCAGGAAAATGGACATTGATGATGAGACCCAATAAACCAGAATGAGCAGTTAGCCAAGCTAAGCTCAGGCACTGCTAGCATCAACCTTGTCAAAATTAATTGGACTTTCTAATAATATAATATAATATAATATAATATAATATAATATAATATAATATAATATAATATAATCTTCAAACTACCCTTGTTGTGTCTGTTGTGGCTATAATTCCTTTCTCTTTTCCTTTCTTTTTTCTTTTTTTCTCTTCTTTCTTCTTTCTTTCTTTCCTCTTTTCTTTCTTTCTTCTCTCTCTCTCTCTCTCTCTCTCTCTCTCTCTCTCTCCCTCTCTCTCTCTCTATCTTGATCTCTTTTGAGACAGAATTTCTCTGTGTAGCCCTGGCTGTCCTGGAACTCATTCTGTAGACTAGGCTGGCCTCAAACTCAGATCCACCCCTGCTCGGTTCCCCAGTGCTGGAAGTAAAGGTGTGAACTGCCAGCAGCCTCCCTTTCTGTTTCTAATGTTGGATGTCTTTGCCATCTTCAGACTCTTGTGATAAAATGTCTTTTTTTTTGGACAGGTGAAAAGCTAAGAATTTAATGAAGTAAATAAGAATTTTAATTCCTGAAGTACTTGGTTACTTAAATATTAGATAATATTAGACAGTACACCATGCAAAAGAAAAGTTCTCACATAGTTGGATTAAAGTAGAGAAATGAATTAAAATGTATACTCTATCAAGTGGCAATTTGTATAAGAAGAAAGCATCTGGGCAGGTCCGTCTTTCTGGAATGCAAATGCTACAGCTGATAAAACATCTCTTAAAGCTGAGGTTTCTCTTTAAGGGTCTCTTTTTCTTCCTTATCTCTGACGCTGTTTCTTACTGACAATTTTTCATGCCCACTCATCCTATGGGTGTGTTCTGTATGTCGGGGCCATGCTGGCTGTGAATAGGATGGGAAGGGCAGAGATTGGGAATGGTAGTGGCTTTCAGATCCGGAGTGGAAAGAGGGGACCCTGAGGGGTTCATCTGAGATGAAGGATTAGGGTGCAGGAGCTTCATTGGAGATGGGGTAGAGCAGAGGCCACAAACAAGTCCGAGTCTCTGTATACAATAAAGATACTGGACAGACTGTGCCATGGGACATCTCAGAGAATCTTCCCCTGTACAGTGCCAGGTCACAAGTCTTCTGTCACCTGCTCAGGTGCTTTCATAAAAGGTTTTCCCCAGCTGGGTTTTTCTCAGGGGTATTTTTAGACAGTGACTCAATGTGGTAGGATATTTTTTAATATCCATGTTAAGAAAACATTCCCCAACTCAAATTTCCTGCCTTGGAGTACAGATAGATTTCTATGAAGCTCTGTGTTCTTTCTCAAAGGTAGCAAGTTCACCCCTGCAGAGGCAGGGATGGGGTGGGAGGAGTGGATGCGGATAGTTAGGAATGGAGTGTGGTGAGATTGAGGTGATGCAGAAGTCAAAGTCAAAGTTCTTGGCAACAAGTACAGAAACAAAACACACACACACACACACACACACACACACACACACACACACACACACACACAAGTCCTGGTGTTCTTGTTTGTACTGCCTCAAATGTTTCAACTGACAGACCACAAAATTACTTCTCATGTAGCTTAGGAGTAGAGCAGTCTGTCCTACCTGGGTCTATGAACATCATACAGTGACAAAATTGCCTAATGGCACACTTCTCAGAACACACCCCCTTATTAAGTAACATACTGATGTGTGGTGGATCTAGATTTTCTCTATTAGCAGAATAAATGCAATCCTTCTGTGATGCAGTACCCAGCTGGCTTTGCAGACTGGGCCATGGTTACCTACGTAGGCTCTTCAGGTTAAGTGGCTTTGTCACTGTTACTATTCTCTCACACTAACGAAGCAATGGCAGTATGTAAGTGAACAAGCAGGGCTATGTTCCTCCAAAACTTATTTTATTGATACTGTAGCTGCAAGTATCACATGTCATGATATAGATGGCTTTTGATTTTTTTTCCCCCAAGCACTTGAAAAAGTAGTAATAATTTCCAGCTAGCAGCCTCTACAGAAATGCAGGTTCTTGGCCAGATCTGCCTCCTAAGTTATGGGAACATTTGCTGTAAACATCAGAAGCTGAACCGCAGAGCCTTGCATTGCCCATACTCAACTAAATATCATCTCAGACTGTCAGGGCTGGGGCATTTCTCACTCCGGAGGACACGCCTGCGCTTTTCAGATCTCCCCCATCATTTGATTTGACTTCATCTGAAGAGTCACATGTGTCTTCCAAGCTGTCCCTTTCTACACTCTGACCTCCTGAGTTTGTCCTGGGCTTCTCTCATCCCAGCACCACGGTGTTTGGTAATGTGTATATTCTCGGTGCTGTAGCCGGATGGAACTAGGTACATCCCTCAGGTTTACTACTGAAATCACGGAAAGACATCACTAATTGTAAGGTACTAAGTGATCTGAAGAAAGCAGAAAAGATCAAAATAGTTAAAGAGAATGTCACGAAGAGGGGAACCTTAACGTTACCTCGAGGCAGCCGTGTGGAAGCAGAGGGAAGTGAGTTGGAGCTGTTCTGGGAGCTGGTGTCTGGGGCTGCTTCAACTTTACCAGACTCTGATCCTTTCTAACCTGTTCCTCGATAGTTCATGCTCTGACCCAGTGGTCCCTCAGGGCAGGTGGGAGGTCCTGTCCACTAAGTACAGCTTATTTTCTTTCAGGGACACAGATGTGCACACGGTGGCCTCTTTATTAAAGCTCTACCTCCGAGACCTGCCAGAGCCTGTGGTTCCTTGGAGTCAGTATGATGGCTTCCTGCTCTGTGGGCAGCTCATGAACGCAGATGAGGCAAAGGTTGGTGTCTCTCCAGCTGGCTTTCTTACTTAGAAGAAAGCAAAAAAGCAATTAATTTTCTAAACAGGGTTCTAGCAGTGAGAGTGTGTGGGGGGACACACCCTTGGTAAGATAATTTATCAGATTGGAACTACAGCAGCAACGCCAGGCCGATAGTGCCATTCTCATTGGTAAAACAGTACAAAAGACTCGAATTTGACTGCCATTCTTCCAATTGGTAAGTTATGCAGTGTATCAGTTACTACCTCATTGCTGTGGCAAAGCGCCAGACAGAAGCAGCGTAAGGAAGGCTCCGTTTCATGAGACAGTTTATGGTGGTGGAGAAGGCATGGCAGCAGGGGCACAGGCCGCCGCTGGTCATGCTGCATCTGCAGTCAGGAATCAGAGATGCAGGCCTGTTTGTGCTCAGCTTGCTTTCTCCTTTTTACCAAGATCCCAGACTATGGGCTGCTACTGCTCACCATCAGGGTGGCCTTCCCGCTTTAGTCAAACCTCCCGAGACACTCTTGTATCCATTGATCATTCTAAACCCAGTCAGGCTGATAACTAAGAATAGGCACCTCATGCATATTCTATGAGATTCCGTGTATTTACTTAAACCAATAGGATTTCCATAGCGATGTAACCTTATCACTGTTTCATGTGTTAACCTCTAGCCACAAGTGATATCATGTCCTTAAAATATGGCTAATATATCAGAAGAGCCAAATTCTTGATTTTATTTACATTTAAATGGCTACATACGGCAATCAGCTACTGTATGGAGCAGCACAAATTTCCACCATGTCGTTGTCTGCATTGCCTAGAGCTGTTTGGAGGAGCAAGGCACATGAAACTAGTTTGTTACTTTATTTTTATTTTTTTGTAGTTGAGCAATTTCTTCTCTGTTCTTTGGTGTTTGTGATATAGTCCAAGTCACAGGACACCTGGGCCAGTGAGAAAATTGTTATTGGAATTCCCTGGGTTGAGTGCTGGTGGGAGCCATGGTTATAAGGATCCTGGCACAAAAGACTATTCTACATTTCAAAGCTAGGACAGGAAGGGAACAGATAGGAAAACAGCAACAGTGATTCAGTCAACAGTTGTAGCTGTTTTCCAAGGAAAAAACTAGACTGCACAGTCTGATTCATAGTCTTGTATCTGAGTTGTGGGTATTGTAGGGTTGACAGAAGATATGAAAACCCTTGATTTACAGGGGCATTTCAGATCTCCTTTGTGGATGATAAGGCTTGAAAACACCTAAAAAGAGTCATCCCACGTGTTATCAGAGGGTGATCACAGACTCTGCAGGCATCCGTGGTCAACAAGAGCAAAGAGTCTTGTCCTTCTTGTCCCTTGCACATGAGATCTTTGAATGGCCATGCCTGAAATCTATAGCCATTGAAGAACTTGAGCTGCCCTTCCCAGTGCTTGCCTTCCGGCATGGCCAGTCTGGCCTGCTTCCCAGAAGTTCTCAGCAGAATCATTTGCTCACTACTTCTAAGGTAGTTCTGAGATATTAGGTTGTGGTTTGTTGTTTATTGGATCATGGTCCCTCATTCATTGAGAACATTATCACGAGTGTCAGTTATCAGATATTCTGCACTTCCAGGAGCTCAAGATCAGGAAGAAGGTCAGAGTGGGTGAGCGACATTATTACAAACAGGCTTTTTATTTATTTTTAATTTTTAATTTTTAAATTTTTTGTTTTTCGAGATAGGGTTTCTCTGTGTAGCCCTGGCTGTCCCGGAACTCACTCTGTAGACCAGGCTGGCCTTGAACTCAGAAATCCGCCTGTCTCTGCCTCCCAAGTGCTGGGATTAAAGGCATGTGCCACCACTGCCTGGCTTTTTTTTTTTTTTTAGGTTTTTACTTATTTATTATATGCAAGTACACTGTTGCTGTCTTCAGACACCCTAAGAGGGCATCAGATCTCATTATGGGTGGTTGTGAGCCACCATGTGGTTGCTGTGATCCAAACTCATGACCTTCGGAAGAGTAGTCAGTGCTCTCAACCACTGAGCCATCTCACCAGCCCCTCAAATAGGCTTTTAAAATGCACAATACAAAAAATATATGCTAGCTGGGAATATATCTCAGTTAGTAGAGTGTTTGCCTAGCATGTACAGAGCCCTGGGTCTGATTCTCAGCCCAGCTCAGACTGGCTGTGGTGGTACACACTCCAGAGGTAGAGGCAGGAGAATCAGAAGTCGAAGATCACTGCTGACTACATATGAAGTTCAAGACGGGTCTGGGCTTAAACTTTCTGAGAATTCACAGTTACTTCCAAATATTTTAACTCACAAAACTGTGGTAACAGGAGAGACAACCAACTTGTTCTTCCTATACAGACTCACGAGTTACGCCTCTGTACTTGTTGCCAACAAATGGGCAGTAGGTTTGTTTACCAGTGCCAAAAATCTCTTCCAGGCTCAGCAGGAGTTGGTGAAGCAGCTTTCTGTCCTTCCCCGAGACAACTACAACCTCCTGAGCTACATCTGCAGGTGAGCCTCCAGGTGTAGAGCCACAGTTTCTGGCCACATCAGGAAGAAGCCCCCGGTAGAAGAGGAAGTTTCCTAAGGTCACTGATTCTGGTCCAGAACTGTAGAAGCCCAACTCTATTTACATATTATTGACAGAGTGGTCATCAGGAATCCCTAAGAAACTGCACACAGAATACATGTACTCCTTCCTTCAGACCTGTCCAGGGCATACAAGAGAACCTGAAATGCCTGTTATCCCTGGAACTAACACCCTGGAAACATTCATTCTAGGCCACCATTTATATTTTCCTGCAGCCCTTTCTGAGGACCTACTGGGTGAGGTCCTTGTGGCAACACCTTACAGGTGAACCAGCCCAGATCTGCTGTGGTGGACGCCTTCAACCCATACATACCTCAATTTTTTTTCTTTTTCAAAAAATATTGCGATGTTATTTCCAAGTAATAAAGATGATTCTGACTTATTCTGAAGACCACAAAGAGCCAAGAACTGTAAGTAAGGACCAGCACTACATGCAACCGCTCGTCCAGTGATGCCTTCCTGTTTTATCTTCTGATGGATCTTTTCTCCAGCAGTGAGACTGCAGGAGAATGGTTTTATATCCATGAAAAGCATTTCCTTTATCATAAAATAAATGATCCCATGTTATCTCATAATTTTCATCATTTGAACATACGATTTTTTATTTCTCCTAATTTTACAAATAAAATTCTTATGAAATAAATCTTATAAATAACCTAAATTTTATGGTATTTCAGTCTACCCACTTTTAAATGCTTTTTAAAAATATCCTGAGTTCTTTTACTGATCTGTTTAGTTGCTTTTGTTTTTCTAACAAATCTAAGGACTTCAGGCTTCTGATGGCTGGAGGGAGGTATAGTAAGCAGCTGCTGGGAGGGAGAGATGCTCCGGTCTCCAGTCTAAGGGTGAGAATGAGGAGGCACCATGGATTTGCGCGGCACGTTTAAGACCTTCTCATAGACATGTTTATCCTCTCGAGAGACATGGGTGGGATGGAAACCGAGAAGCGAGTGATAAAGGCAAATCACTGACGCTGTCGAACACCTATCTGAAGCAACCCTTGCTGTGAGATTCTCCACCTCCAGCCTGCCCCTCCCCCAGCAACTGAACAGTCCATGGCTCCTCATCTCTTCTTGGTCTGTGAACTTCCAGAAAGTCTTGCAGGCAGAACCAGTTCACTCCATTCCAGAAACTGGGAAAAGAGCTAGATTTCAACAGATGTACGGCTGCTGGGTCCAGGGCGTGCTCGCGCTCTCTTCTGGGCACTTCCCGTTGTCTAAGATGGGGTTTCTTGTTGCCCACAGATTTCTGCATGAAATCCAGCTGAACTGTGCCATTAACAAGATGAGCGTGGACAACCTGGCCACTGTGATTGGAGTGAACCTCATCAGGTCGAAGGTTGAAGACCCGGCTGTGATCATGAGAGGTACACAGGCTGATCCTTCCAGGAGCGGCCCGCTGGGAGTGACAGCAAGAACACTGCCCCTAGTGTCTGTTCGCTGTTCTGCAGCTTACCAAGCCTGCCCACTTACCTCTTCTGACTTTATTAACAAGCCCCATGAGGTCAGCAGTGTAGGAATTACACCCCCTGCCCAACGATCATGGAGCACAGCAGTCTAACCTCAAGCCAATTAACTAGTGTTTCCCAGCCTTTTTATGACTTTAACATACCCTTAGTCAAGAAGAGCAAACAGGTTTTTGTTTTACAAGCCAGTTTCACAAAAAGGTTACTGTAAAGCTAGGCTGAAAAGCTTTCTAAGGGTTGTATCTTGGCTCAATAAGCAAAGGTCCTGACAGAGAGGATTCATGCACGCATGTGAAAAGGAAGTGTTCCTGACACCTGTTTGCTTCAGGAGTAATAACAAGACAGATCATACTGAGGACCATAGGAGAAGAGAAAGATTACCCCCCCACACACACACACACTGCCTGTTATTATTATACCTGTTGTCTGATAAAGTCTGATCCAAGGAAATATAGGTGGAAAGTGTCCTCAGGGGCTCATTGCTCATCCCACCATAATATCTTTATTTTAGTACATCTTCTCATTAAAAATATTCTACAGCAAACAATTAAAAAGGGTCCCGTTAGAGCAAACGAAGCCTGTGGTTTTTAGGTCTGATGTGGAAATACCCTATTGGAGGGTGGCAACCTTTGGGTGCTTCTGGGCTCCTGCTCCATATACCAGCATGGCAAATCTCTTTTTTTCTTTCAGGGACTCCTCAGATCCAGAGAGTGATGACCATGATGATCAGAGACCACGAAGTCCTCTTCCCCAAGTCTAAGGATGTACCACTCTCACCCCCTGCCCAGAAAAACGATGCCAAGAAGGCTCCAGTGCCCCGAAGCTCTGTGGGATGGGATGCCACCGAAGACCCACCCCTTTCTAGGACAGACAGCTTCAGTAACACAGTAAGATGCCTGCTGCGCCTCAGACTCTTCCTTTAGCCTGGTCATTCTGAGGCAGCAGTTTGAGGAGCTGTGGGCCATGCGTAGAGCTGGCAGTAACCTGTCAGAATATGTTGGAAAAGCCTGGGCTAGTGACATGTGTGAGAACTGCCCTGCAGGCTGGCTCTTTGGGTCTTTTCTAAAATCATCTTCAAGACAAAAAACTCAGGGAAATTTGACAGAGAAAATAAACGAGCATTGCATGTTTGGGTAAAGCTGCTGAACATTCTGAGGGAAAGTCCAGAGGGCACGGGTGTCCTGCTAATGATGAACGTGATTTCTTCCTCAGAACAGGGATGTGTCTGTGTAGCCTTCCTCATTCCCTGATAAGCTGCCTTGGCTATATCAGCCCCTCACTTGGACAGAAGGCTTGAAGCTCTCTTGGAGCTCACGTTCACAGAGTCGCCAGACTCTGCAGTCCCCAGTGTGTAGAGTATGGGAGGGCACCAACTCACAAAGGTCAAATATTTTCATGTATTTATAGGAACAAATTTTTTTTAAAAGAATCTGTAGACTTTTTATAGCAGCTTCATATTTTTTTTAAAAGAAAAATGGGGCCGAGTCATAAAATTCACATTTCTAGTTGACCAAGAGAGCTACCTATGACATGGTTAAAGATGGGGGTCGGGGATGGGCAATAAATTGTGGTGGTTGTAGTTTTGTTTTAGATAGGTTTTGTATGGCCACAGGTATCTTACTAGTGTTCTAACCTGAGTTGCTATTTAAAATTTTGTTAACCAGTCACCCGCAGTCCTTGCCAGCCAAGGCTCTGCTCCTTTGACAGTGGCCTGAAATGACAGAACAACAATCTGTGCGGAGAAGTAATTGGATCAGCTCCACACCGTTTCCCTGGGGGACAGTGTATCACATGCATTGACTTCGGTTGAGTGTCTGAGGCAAGAGAGGTTGACCAAGGCGTCAGCACTAGCATACTCTAGAGCAGGACTTCATGTCCCTGTTCCTATTCCCACTGCAAGACCACACGCTCCAACTGAAGCACGGAATGTGCTAGAAGACATCTCAGTCCCTGACTTTCCTAACTTATGTGGGAAATGATTTTTTTCTTTTCTTTTCATTTTTCCCTTTTTTTCTTCTCAATTTAGTTTTATATACAACCACATGGTTAAAAAAAATTCATAGAAAGGAATCAGCTGGGAAGTGTAAGGCTACTTAGGAGAGGAAAGGTTCAGGGCAGCATGAGGTTGGCGGTTACAGTCCACAGTGGCAGGAAAACCATGGCAACAGGGCTTGAGGCGCTGGGCACAGCAGATCCACAGTCAGGGAGCAGAAAGATGAACGCTGTCGCCCAGTTCCCGTTCTCTTTTCTCTTCAGTCCAGGATTTGTTCTGCCCACAGGTAACGTGGGCCTTCCCACCTCCCTTACTCTAGACCCTCCTGGCTGTCGCCCCGAGGATTGTTTCTATAGTGATTCTAGATTCTGGCAAGTTGAATCTCTCCTTGAAGTTCTTTGCCCATTTCTTCCTGGTCATTGATCTTTTCCTTTCCAATCAATATAAGCTTGGTACAACACAGGGAGTCACCAGCAGGAGATCTTTACTGCCTGTGAAATACATTGTAAAGCATTTGCCAGCTCACGGTTGCTGTTTGGCTTTCCACTTAGCATGTGGCAGCATGTTTGTGTGGTTTTGCTCTTCTTAATTTTGGAGGTCATGGGAATACATTGAGTGGAGTTTACTCAACGTCGGTTGGGCTCTGAGTCACAGCTGACAGAAACCTAAATTCATGAAAGGGTCCCAGCTCGGGATTTTCACACCAATCAAGCAAATGATTTTACTTCAGCTCCCTCTCTAGGTCTCGAATGGCTAGAATCCCTGAACTGTAATATCCTTTTGGCAAGTTATCACACAGGAAATCAACTGAGGTGATGTACTGAGGGTGTCACAGGTGTGTGACCAGGAAACACTTCCCCGTCTCTAATTCTTACTTTAGGAGCATGGCACACCAAAGGAGAAAAAACAAAAACTTTTATAACATCCATGGATATCTTTTCCAGGCAAGTAGTCCTGATGCCACCAGCCCCACTGGACCACAGCCAGGTGACCAGAATCAGGAAGACAGTGGAAAAGCCCCCAGGGAAAACCCAGGAGACTGGAAGATGCAATCCCGTAAAAGGACTCAAACGCTCCCCAACCGGAAGTGTTTCCTGACATCCGCATTCCAAGGCTCCACTAGCAGCAAACTGGAAATCTTTAAAAATGAGTTCTGGTCTTCATCTTCAGAGGCTAAGGCAGGAGAAGGGCACAGGAGAACTATGTCTCAAGACTTGCGCCACCTTTCCAATGACCAGCGGACTTCTACCTATGATAATGTCCCCACCTCACCAGGGTCCCAAGGGGTCCCACCAGGTGCACTCTCTCCCCCTGCCAGTGACTCTAAGAAAGATGCTCCTGTCAGCACAGACTCTGAAATGGAGTCTGGAAGTAAGAACTCTGGCGAGGATGACCTTGATTCTTTGCAGAGGATGGTCCAGCACCTACAAAAGGAAATAGAAACCCAGAAGCAGATGTATGAGGAACAGATTAAAAAGTAAGTCATGTGCAGAGGGCCAAGTGCACTTGACTTCTGTGTTTAGAAGGAAGGATACTGTCCCCACCTTCCAAAATGTCACAGTATAAAATATTTCAGGGGACAGAGCAATCTGTAGCAGCCAACACTAATAAAGGACCAAGGGAGAGAGATGAGACAGGTAAGTTAGTGAAAATCCTACGCTTCTGATGAGATCCATGGAAACGTACATATTGAAGCCCGCATAGCCTTCAGGGTGAATATGTGGAACTGAGTTGGGGAATTTCCTTGTGCTCCATATTGGTGTATGCTATCAGGGCTGACCATCTGGTTTTGAATAACAATTGGCATGCTCTTCTCTGAGATGAATATTTTTCCCACCCAAGGCATTCCTCAGTGGCCTGTTGTTCTTTGTGTAGGGTTGAGGTCTTGTGGCCCTTCCCCTACTCGAATTGGCATGTTTACATTTGGGCAAAGCATTCTTGAAGGCCACACAGCTGATTAGTGGGGGGCTGGGTTTTGAACCTTGAACCCAGGTCAGTCCAGCTCTCCAGTCCATGTAGATTCTACTCTCCACTGCAATCAGTGGTCAAGATTCAGCATCTTACTTTCTCCAAGCCAGGAGGGAATGAAAAGCCAGAGGAAAAGACTGAATCTATAATGTGAGGCTCTGAAAGAATGAGGAAATGTACTGTAGGAAGAGCAGGACAGACAGGGGCAGACGCGGCTCTGAGGGCTGGCCCACACAGAGTCAGCCATGGCTCTTGAACCCAGAACCCGAGGCATGGGCTCAGCTGGGAACTTATGTCTGCAGATGATCACGGGCGGGCTGCTGGGGAGGAGGGGGAATAGTATTCACGGAATGAGCTTGAGGAGGAGGGCAGCACCCAGAAGATGAAATTCTGAAGCAAATTTCCAATCACACAATTTGAATTTCATCCACAGACCAGAAATTCCCTCCTTAGGCTTGAATAATAGACTGTGTTCATTCATTCCTAAGGATTAGTTCCACATAGCTTGGAAAGGCACTTGGATACTAGGATTTTAGCTAGTAGCAATGAATGTCATGAAAATTCAGGAAACTTACACTTCACCCAACCTGAGCAGAATTTAGAATTTTAGTGGGAAACCTGGTCCCCAAAGTATGTTTCCCTTTGCTTTTCCAAATCTTGGTCCCAGGAGGATCTTGGCTAGGAAGGGCTTTGGCCCAGGATGTCTACCAACCAGAGCAGGGTAGAGAGGCACCATGTGCAGAGATGTTGAGGATCTAGAATATGGACCGTCCACAGCTTTGGCTGAACTAGGCAAAACACAAGGTGCTATAAGGTAGAAACGCAGATCCATTACTGATGGCTCCTTCTTTCAAATATTTTGTCTGATTAAAGATATGATACAATGCATACAACTCACATGGAACACAGTAACCCAGGAGGTGTCACCAGGGTGTTAAGCAGAGCTCTGAGTGCTTTGGAAATTGAGGTTTTCTGTAAAGTCTTCTCTTGGAAGGAAGAGCATACACAGGAGACAATGGCTGTACTGGCATCTTGTGTCTCAGAAAGGCAAATGAACAAGAGGTCGTGAACATGGGTGGAGGGCTGTGAAGGAAAGTTTTAGAATTAATACTCTGCTGTTCCCTTGGTTTCCTTCCTTGCAGCCTGGAGAAAGAAAATTATGATGTCTGGGCTAAGGTGGTAAGGCTCAATGAAGAACTGGAGAGGGAGAGGAAGAAATTCGCGGCCCTAGAAATTAGCCTTCGAAATGTGGAGCGCTCCCGGGAGGATGTTGAGAAGAGGAACAGAGTCTTGGAAGAAGAAGTCAAGGAGTTTGTGAAATCAATGGAGAAGCCCAAGACAAAGACCGATGCTTGAGGGTCTGAGTTGTGTGGCAGGGACAGTCAACTCCATTTCTTCATGCTCTTAATGAGCAGGAAGCAGGATCACCTCCTAGGATGGACAGGGTATCTGAGGGGATGTGCCACAATCCTTCATACACAGAAGATGGCAGTGAGCAGGAACACGCCAGGACACTTGCAACCGTGTGCAGTGCTCCAAGGATTGCGTTATTCCACTGTGAGAAGAGTGAATTGGAATCTTCCAGTACAAGACCAGGTCCAAAGAAGATATTTAAGGTGTGTGACATCTCAGGACCCCAGGTCAGCGCTAGACCAAGGCCTCAGTTCTTCGTTTTCTATGTGGCTGACTTGCCTGGTCAGATGGCTCTGGTCAGCTCTGAAACATGGGCAGAAAATGATACTTAGATCTCCAGTGCTAACCTACTGAGGGCCGCTTGGAGAGCCTGGACTGGTGGAACCAGAATCAAACAATATTTATAAAGGCAAAATGGGTGAGAAAATTATATTCAAATAAAGAAAATAGAAAACAAAAATCAAGCAAGGATATTGGTAATTTATGAAACATTTTTATTAGAATTAGTAAAGGAGGGTTTGGAGAGTTGGCTCAGTGGCTGAGAGCACTGGCTGCTCTTTCAGAGGACCCAGCATCTACACAGTGGCTAATAACTACCTGTCGCTCCAGTTCTAGGAGATCTGACGCCCTCTGAGGGCACCAGATATACATATGCTGCCCATACATATATGCAAGCAAACACCAAAGCACATCAAATACATACATACATACATACATACATACATACATACATACATACATAC